CCCTCATCTCGGTGGCTCATCTCTCGGCGCTGGCAGGAAGCCTCACGAGAACGCGTACAAAAAGACCAATCGGCGCTACTGCGAGCTATGCAACGTTTGGTTTGGCAGTGATCGCGCGGTAAGACGCTGCTCGCTTTGGGTGCATTGCCAGCGCCGCTTTGGCGATGGGATCGGGAGCTCACTGATGCTCTGGCTGGCAGAGCGTCGAGTTTCATGAGACTGGAAAAAAGCACAAGACCAACGTCGAGACCAAGCTGCGCGAGGTAAGGCGCTCCCCTGCTTTCCCAACTGGTCTGGCGCTCAACTTTTGTGGTGACTGTGTGAAAGCGAGGCAGCGCAATGTGCCCCAGCCATCCTGGCGACACGATTCTCAACGTTATTGCCGTGTGCCTTTAGTCACGCCAAGGCTATGTTGAGCGTCAAGAACAGAAAGATCAGGTGGCAGACATGCTGGCCAAAATTGAGCGTGTACGTCTCGGATCTTGCCCTGCAGGGCTGCATATCAAGCTCAGCGTCTTGCCTTCCATGCTTCCCATCAATTGCCGCTATGCACTCTTGTGGTAATACACATTGGGCCCCCGTGGTCATACAACGATGCGAATCACAGGATGCGGCTCGTGCCGCCGCCGCGGACCTTGCGCATGATCCCAGCCGGAAGGCGCGCGACGCGAGCTTGAAGAACATAGCCGTCCTCACCACCGCTGGTTTGTCCGCCCTTTCCTTCCAAACCTGCTCCTGCGACTGGGCGGCTGCCCCCTTGTGCCAACCCCTGCTTCCACTCGTGGCCCGTAGAGGAAACAGTGGCGCCCGTCGTGGACGAGGCGACTGCCAAAGCCGCCCGCAGTTATCAGATGAGCATGGATCGAGCCCGTGATAACCTGCGCTACCAAGCCACAAATCAGAATCTTACAGACAAGGATGAGAAGGATTGCTGGCAGTTGGGTCACACCGCAGACGGCCAACCCTATTACCTCAACCTGAAAACCTTTGGTGTGTCCTGTCAATCGGCTTCCAACAAAGCAAAGCCACGGCCTCGTCTCCCATGCTCCTGTTGCTACCTTGGGAGACTAAATGCAACCACCTCCTTCCTTTTGCTCGTCTGTAGAAACACGAACCACCAAGCCGGAGGGATATCGTGATCCGGCCGTTGTTGAAAAGGTACGACAAACATGCTTCAAGTGGGCTCATGCCCAAATGTTGCTTTTATTCTCACGCACTGCTCTTCCGTCATTGGTTACGCAGGAGCGAGCGAAAGCAGAGCGAGAAAAGGAGGCGCTCGCCCGCGCCGAAGCTGCCGCCACCACCTGGGAAGAGGTGGACCCAATTCAGAAGCGCCTGCAGGCCAGAGCCGCGGCGCAACGTAAAAACGACGAGCCGGCCGAGGCACATCCCTTTGATAAGCTCTACCAAGACTCAACCCTTACTTTTGAAGCCAAGGCAACCCCTGAATTTAAGGTGTGAAAATGCGACCGTTGCTGCCGCGCACACACCCGGTTTTCCAATGTCATTTGGTCCTACGCTAGCGCCGCACACTTTTATTTCACTCTGGCTTTCCGATTTTTGTCTGCACCCCAGCGCCCCAAGGTCAGCGCGGCCGGTGACGATGGTGATGGAGCCGCGCCCATGCTTAAAAAGAAGAAAAATCGGGACAAAGGCGCAGCTCGCCAACGACATCGCAAATCTGCTGCCGACTTGTAATCGGGAATCACCAATTGACATAACGTTTCCTTTTGGGCTATTTTTCCTTTTTGCGCAGAGTGCAAGGGGGCCACAGTTGCCAGTTGGGGCGACAACTGCGGGTGCAAACAAAACATTACGCACACGCGTCCCCTTGGCCCACCGGCCACGATAGAAATGTGCCTCATAAAAAGTTGGATTACCATCAGTGTCTCTGAACTCAACCAAGCTTGCGCGTCACACCACACCCATGCATTGGGCTGCCCAGCAGCCGGTGTCCAACTTGGTCAACGTAAGCACGACGACATTTCATTACATGACGACGCACAGCTTGCTGCGGGCGCGCGGCGCCTCCCAAGGATGTGGATCCTCACCCGTGGCCTGAGAGTTGCCAGCCTCGCTCACTGGCTCATCCTCTGATCCGGCCGCATGCCCGACGGCCACTTCACGGTCGCCCAAAACAGGACATAAAGGCTCGTAGCCGGGGGGCAGAGGCACCATGGTAAAAGGCGGAACTTCTGCATCCGGTCCGGCCGCTTTGAAGGTTCCGTTGGTCTCGCCCGGTGACACAGACTCTGAAGGCACCGGGCGCCTAGGTTTGTACCACACCAGTATGAGGGGTATACCAGCACGCCCACCAGCCCATTTCACGAGACAGGGCGGGGACAGAGCGCAGAACACACCTGTCCGAGCCGACTGGTAGCACAGGAGTTTCTGAAGGGGTGAGACCTGGATGCGGGTCAGCCCAAGCAACGCCAACGCCTGCAGGTGCACCACGAATAGGGGGTAGGGCGGAGCCATGGGCCAGGCGCGCCTGACGCCGATTTTGCCGAGCCGTGCTCAAGCGTCCTGAGCCGCGGGGACTGATGGGCGCCAGACTCTCGTCCGCGTCTGTGGAATCGGCTGGCGGCGCATCTGCCACGGGTTGCAGCGCAGCTGCCACTGTTGGGGCGGGTCCCGTGGCGGCACCCACGACCGCAATCTGGCGGGGCGGGGCGGATGCATCTGTGGTTGAGGGTGGGCGACGACGGCGTTGAGCTCGAGGTTGAACCTGGCTTTGTGGCACGCCACCAACTATTGTTCCTGGCGCAAGCGTTTTGCTCTCATCGCCGGAAGGGGGATCCTCTTCGTCGCTTGAGCCATCGGTCCACTTGCGTGGCGAGCGCGGTGCAGGGGCAACACCCTGGGAAGCGACGGCCGTGGGTGGTACGTTTATGGAGGACTGCACAGGTTTCTCCGTCAGCACGGGCTTCCTTGGGGGTGGTGTGGGAAGCGGAGCGTCCACGATGATGAGGGTGGTGCTGCTGCCGGCAGCAATGAGGCGGGCCGAAAGTGAGGCTTCTTGCAAGGGACTCAATCGTCGCAAGGCAAAAACGTCATCCAAGAGCTTGCGATGTCCAAGCATGCCGTAGCGGGAGGACCCACAGGTCCACGCATGGCCTTCATTGGTGAGCGCCACAACATGACTCTCGCCACAAGCGACGTGCGTGAAGACGGTCGGGGTGGCGATGCCTTTGGTGGGAAGAATTTCCATTTCTGTCAGCTGAGAGACCTGCGCCTGCTGCCGCGGGTGCCCGGCTTGGCCTTCACTGTTGTCTCCACAGCTCCACAAGCGACCAGCATCGTCAAGCACTGTGGTGGAGTTGGCAGTGCACGCCACTGCCAGCCCACGGCTCCATGTGTTTGGAAGCACAGCCGGTTTGGGTGTCGCAACGTCGTCGTCGGTGTTTTGACCTAGCTTGCCGGCTTCGGCTTCGCCCCACGTGTAGAGGGTACCCACGTCTGCAAAATTTGAGCGAGAGGTTCAGGAGATCGGACCCGCGTAAGTGGGTGGAAGGGGTGGACTGGGACTGACCGGTCAGCGCCGCCGAATGGTAGTTGCCAGCTGCCACGCGCGTAAAGACTTGTTTGCCTTTGACGATGGCTGGCACCTAAAAAGAGGGGCAGGGCGCATACCAAGCCTGAGCGGGTGCACAACAGGAGCGCAAGTGTGGGCTTGATGCAAGGGGGAACCTACTGGTTTGCACTTGGTGCCTCGACCCAGTTGACCGTAGTCGTTGCCACCCCAGGTGATGAGCTGGCCCGAGGCGGTAACAAAAGCCGAGTGTTCTGCGCCTGCAGCTAAATCCACGATGGTGCCTTTGAGCTTGCTCGGCAGGTCCACGGGGAGCAGTCGCTGAGCATCAATGGCCTGGGCGATGCGGCCCAGCTGAAATTCCTCGTTGTTACCACAGCTCCATACAACCTCTATGAGACATCCAGAGACGCCAAGATCGAGTAGTGAGATGAGAAAGCGCCGGAAACACACTGGTATGCGCCCATCAAGAGCCTGGCAATCCCCTATCTGGCTTGCACTCGCACCGTGAGAGGCCATGAGAGAGTGGTGTCGGCCGGCTGCGATCGCGTGGCAGCCCTCTGCGTGCACGCAACGAGGCAAAGAAAGGGTCGCGGGACCATGAGTGGCAATGCGGGAACACGGCCAAGGGTTGGGCCAGGGAGAGAGTAAATAAGGCCCGACGGACCGTGAATGGTCGCAGGGCTTGCGACGGGGTTGCGATGATCGAGGCCGAGCTGGCCCCATTCGTTGTCTCCACAGCCCCAGACCTGGCCGGCAGCTAGCATACAATTGATAGTTAATGACGTCCAAATTGCCCAGAGATCAGAATCAAGGATGTCACAGGTCTGAGGGAGAGTCGCCAATCCAGGAGCCATTGCGGATTTTGAGCTTGGGCTGGGCCCGATGAGAGCGTACCTGTGAGGAAGAGGGCGTGACCCTCTCCGCAGGCGACTTGCGTGATGGGAGAGCGAAAAAGGCCAAGCTGCCAGCGGAACAGAGCCCAATGTGGAGCTTGCTCGGATTCAATCCTGTCCAATGAATCGGCACTTTCATGTTTTGTCTTGTCCGTGGGGCCCGCATCCGCGGAAACGAGCGACCGGCCGCACTGCACAATCACTTGCTGCGTCGCGCTCGTCGATACCAGTCCAGCGGCGAGGGGAGGAGGTGCTGCAGCCATGATGGCTGCCTACTTCACTGCCAGTGCTCTGAGGAGGAGACGGGGGAGCAGGCGTCAAAGGCAATAGAAGGCAAGCCTCGTCCAGGCACTGCGATCCCCAGCTTCAAAGCGAACCCCCAGCGCGGGCGCTGCCGTTTCCAACTGTTTTTTTTTTTTTTTTTTTTTTTTTCTGTTTTTTCAGTTCATGCGTTGCTTTGACAATAAGTAAAATACTTGTAATTGGAAATACAAAAAGTATTTTACATCTCTCTCATCTCTCTCTCTCCTTTTGGTGGCTTGATACGAAGTAAAATACATTCAACTCGTGCAGTTTTTTTTAGATCAATAACGGTTGGTAGCGTTCTGTTGACACACACACACGTCTGGGAGAGAGAGAGGGAGACACGCGCGCGCGCGGGCTCAACTGCAAAAACGGCAGCCCGGGGTGTGTGCGCTTGCGGCTGTGTCTGCCCATGTGCATTTGACCTATGCCCCGTGTCTATGTTCTGTGAATGGTGGTGATGGCGAGTGCGTGGGCCATGCTTTTGGGGTAAAAGGGAATGGGAATTGCATTTGGGAAAATGGCAGGCAGCGCACAACTACTTGTCGTGGCTGTGGGGTGAGCTCACTCACTCGCGCGCTCCGCTCGCTCGCGCAGGGTTCCCACTGCTGCTTCTAGGTGTTGACTGGCAGCATGGCATCGGAGGACTTGCTGCTGGACCCGGCCATTCGGCTTTGGGTCGTCTTTCCCATTATCATCATTGCGTATTGCATTGGTCTTTGCCGTCATTATGCCAGCGTCCTGGTGGGCTCGCAGCCCGAGGCTAAACCCGAGGCTTTGAAGGAAGCGTACGTGCGCATGGTCCCCCCTCTGGCCTGCAACGCCTGTTCTGTACAGGCATACCCCGTACCAAGCCATGCATGAGGCGCCAGGATTGGCCGGCTGACCATGCGCTCGGCATTTTACGCAGGAACGTTTTGGAGCGGTCGGCCCGCCTGCGCATCAATGGACAGTACATTCCGCGCCACGTACGCTTTCAACCTAGACGCGCCTTATCGAACGATATCCCCCCGCCGCAGCCTCCGCTCGAGCTGAATGATCCGACTGAAGCTCGCCTCATTCTGCGTCTCGTTCCCGCTCATGCTCATCACCACCACCCGCCCACCATCACAGGCATTCTTGGCGCGCAAGCAGTACTTTAACGGTGACAAGACGGGCATTCTCAGCAAAGCCAAGTCGGAGAATGAAAACAAGCAGCCAGTCAACCCCATGCAAGGTACGCTGTCTGTCTTGTTTCTGCACTCTTGTGCCATGAAGAACCGTCAATGTCTTGCTACTCACGCGGCCTCGCTGGATATGTCTCACGCCACACACTGTTTGCTCTTGGTGCTCGAACCCAGATCCATCCATGATGACGGACATGATGAAGAAGCAAATGATCAACATGGTTCCCATGGTTGTCATTGGTGGACTCATCAACTGGGTCTTTTCCGGCTTTGTGATTAGTGCGTTGCCGTACCTTTCGACACGATTCTGCGCCTGCCCTGGCCCCACTCACGCCCCTTTGGTTGTTCGTTCTTCGGGGGGGGTTTTTTTTGACTTCTTCTTTTTTCTCTCCTATTCTCAACGTCAATCCCTGCACAGTTCGTGTTCCCTTTCCCTTGACCATTGCCTTCAAGCCCATGCTGCAGCGAGGCATCGAGCTGACGACGCTCAGCGCTTCTTGGTACATCCTCGCACAAATGTCAAAAGCCCCATTTTGCTGCCTAACATGTGATCCCAACTGATTGTGCCAACTCACGACTCTGCGATCGATCTTCACCTACCCAGGGTGAGCTCCATGTCCTTTTACTTTACTTGTGTTTTTGGGTTGTCTGCCGTGTACACTCTGGCCCTCGGGAGCAACAACGGTACGCACGACCTTTTATTCCCAAGCCCTCTCACCTGCACATCTGCGAAGCCTGCTTGTTTTGGTGACTGCGGGCTTTTCTTTGCACAAGTGCCTGCTCATGGCCAATCTTCGGTTGTTCTACGCCTCCCCCACAGAGGCGGATCAGTCAGCCATGATGCAGCAGCAAATGGCCATGACCAAGACCCCGCAGCAACCAGGCCAGGCCTACAAGGCCGAATGGGAGGCATTGCAGGTCAGACTCTCCAAGTCACGTCACTCCATGACTCTTGACCAGCTCTAGCTGCCTCTGCTTTTCCACGCTCACCTGGGCCTGTCCCGCTTGCCTTGCCGATGTAGGTGATGCGCCACGACTGGGCACTCCACTCTCAGCAGCACCTAGGCAGCGATGTTGTGGATGTCCGCCACGACTTGGCCGGTGTCGAGCAGGACCTGATTCGTGCTTGGGCCTAAATTTTCATGCCCATGCGACGCGTTCTGGCAACCTGTTTGTAAACTCTTCCCAGATCGATGGGTTTTTGAAAGACATGGCGCTATGTGACTTGGTCTTCAAATTTTCAAATTCGTTTTGTTCAAAGACGGATAGAGACACAACAGGACCCAGATTCAATCTGACCATCCATAAACACCAGTAAGATGACAAACACACTCACGGGTCACTAGCATGCACGAACGCACGCACGCCCCGACTTTTTCTTTAAAACAGGGGACTGACTCTACTTAAAAGAGTGGCCGTCCGGCCCGAGTACGTGCGATAAAGGCCACGCCCACGGCCACGCCCGCAAGACAGACGGCCGTCACCACGGGATGGCGCTCGCAGGCACCGCGGATCCTGCAAAGGATTGCCACGCCGAACGAATGCGTGAGAAAAACGGGTTGGGCACTTCAGGACGAGCGGCAACGATACAGGAGGGCCTTTGGGAAACGTGGAAGGCGACGCACTTGGCAGCCATAGTGGCAGAAGCGGCCACGGGGCCCTCTTCATCCAACACTTCGAGTGACTCGTCGACGGCTTGAGTCGCATTATCAATGGCCTCGGCGGCGCGGTCTGTGGCATTGCTGATGGCTGATCGCACCGATCCTGCAACATTCCAATTCAAGAAGATGGGATGAGCAAGATCGCAGCTGTTTTCAATCAAAACCCAGCTTTTGACGCATTCACGAGAACAATACGAACCATTGCGCTGCGACGAGACTGATGGGGGTGGGGCTCGGACGGATGAAGCAGACTTGGACTGCTGCGACGACGAGGGCGATGATGCTGCCTCGGGCGCCGGGGCATGCTTGAGTGCTGCGGCATAAGACTCGCCACTCTGCTGCTTCGCTGCGTTCTTTTGGTGCTTGTTCTTTGGCACAAGTGGGACCGGGGGCTCGCGAGGCGGGTGCTAGAATGCCACAGGTTTAAAAGATGAGAAAAAGGGCAAAGGCGGCAAGCTCTGTCGCACGGCTCCAACTTGACTGACCTGAGTAGAGGGAGATGGGCTGTCTTCGCCTCGAAGCGCGGCAGCCGCGGCGGCACTGACCACGTTGAGTTTAACGTATTCTTGATGTTGGTTCTCGTGAGCCATGGAAGCACTCTCGCCAGTTTCAATTACGGGATGACCCGCGAGCTCCTCTGAGGGCGGGGTGGAGGCTTGAGCCTTGACTTGAAGTAGGTTGTCAAAGGCCTCGACGTCAACCTCCTCATCACCCTGTGCGTCGTGCGAGACCCGTCCAAGCTGGTCAGAGGCCGGGATGCAGACTGATCCGTTGCATCAGGCAGGAAACGAGCGTACCGGCTGGACGTTGAGCTCAGACCAGATGGCTTGCCAGCCCTGGTTACTGTCATTGAGCGCGAGCAAATCCCGCAAGCCGGGCGTTTCATTGACAATGCGCTTCACTTCTGATTTACTCAAGGTTCTTATCCAAGGCGGGTGCAGTGGTGCCCGTACGTCAGCAAGAGCGGAAGGGTGCCAGGGGGGCAGCACAAGCCACCCCAAGAGATGATGATGGGCGAAGACAACGAAGACAAGAATGAGACCTACTTGCGGTTGGAAACCTTCTCGCGGCGAAGGGCATCCTCAAGGATGAGATGAATTTCAGAGTTCATGATGGACGGTGGTGAAGGGCAGCAGCACAACTCTGGAGTTTAACGGCAGCGGTGGTTTGGGCGAAAGCTAGAAGGAAAAATGATGAGTCTCCTTGGTAGAAAGCGGCTTGGGTGGGCGACACCACTTGTGTCTACACAGACGCTACGATCAATGGCCAAAGGGCAGTCGGAACTGCGCAGGGATCAGGTGTAATAGAGGGCTCCAACAAGCTGAGCAAGGTGGAGGCTGGGCAAGGTGTAAAGAAAATGCTGGCCAGGTGCAAGCGAGCACGGCCAGTATCCCAAAAATAAAAAGCACCATCATCAATGGTGATGGCACAGGCGGATGCGTTGGCAAGCAAGACCATGGAAATCCAAACAGAGCCCAAAGGGGGAGGGGGGGAGGGCTGATGCCATGTCGCGGTCACGCACGATCAAGCAACAACCAGAAAGAAAGCAGAAGAAGAAGAAGAAGTGTGTGTGTGTGTGTGTGTGCGTGTGTGTGTGTGTGTGTGTGTGTGTGTGTGTGTGCGCGCGTGTGTGTGTGTGCTTGGACATCTTCGACACACACACATACACACACACACACACA